TGTGAGCCTGAGGCGCTTTAAGAACTTTAAGAACGACATCCATATTTCCTTGGTAGATGCATGTGGGAGTGAATTTGTAATTAAATTAGACTTTTTAGACTTTCAAAACTTGAATGATTTAATTAAAATGCATTGCATAGTCCTATATATGAGGATTTTGTTTATTTTGTCCTGAAATGTCCTAGACATATTAAAAGGAGATATGTCGTCATTTCACCCTCATGAATCAAACACGGCTACTTGTGTCATGAACACATCAAAGCTTACGAAGACATTATCAGTGAACATTGAGTAAAATTGTATTTCTCACTCTAAGCTGTCATATGAAAAAATAATAATAATAACGAAATGTACATGAAGAGAATTGTCATTTTGACTGAATTATACTAGTTTGGGTGATTATATGGAGTATGGTAGTCAAAAATAATGAGATTCATTCTTCTTTACCACTGCTCACTGCATCTGTTTATATACAGGCCAATGATGCCTCGGGAAACACCTGGAACTGGCTGTACTTCATCCCTCTCATCATCATCGGCTCCTTCTTCATGCTTAACCTCGTCCTGGGTGTCTTATCAGGGTATGTGCTCAGTTGCTTTTTTCTCTTTATTTATTCTGTCTCTCATTCTGGAAAGTTTGATGAGTTTGATTGAGTTCTGAAACTTAATGATGTTTTATAGTACAATGACCTCTTACATGTCAAAAGATCATGGAAAGACCCGGCATCTTAATTAGAAATGATAAAAACACATTTATTTAGTTTTTTATTTTTTGTTTATTAACACTTTATCAAACAAACTGTTTCAACAGAATATTTAGCAAACTCATAAACATATAGCCTAGGCTATGACTAATATTCATGCATTCGCACAGTTCATGCTTAAGTTTCAAAACAACTGATAGAACACGTTATGTTGACTCTACAACATGTTAAAATGTAACTATAACAAATGCAGCAATTAACAGGCTAACAAAATGAATGAATAAGAGTAACATGTAAATATTTTAAAAAATTTTCCGGTCTGTTTTGTCTAAACACTTTAATTGTGACCATATTTAAATATATATATATATATATATATATATATAAAGCTTTATACCCTGCATCTACATTTTGCTCCAGATTCAACATCATGCCTCATCTTCCTTTCTGCTTTTTCTTTCCTTTCTTCCTTCTCTGACTTGAATTTCCTGATGGCACACTCATTTCTGTTTTCTGTGTTGTCACTCCACTGAAACATTATACGTTCACAATTATGCCATTCATCATACAAAGTTATTTACACTTATTTTAAACATTTTAATTTGCCAATTCACCTAATATAGTCAATATACTTCATATTGAAAATGATCTTGCATGTTTTTGTTCTTTCACATTTCTGACATATTTCAAAGTGCTGTCAATGGAAAGGCGTCTGGGCAGCATTGAAATATCATCTTCAACATTCTCCATATTTTGGTCTTTACAAGTTGTTTTAATGGTTATTGTAATATAGTTTGCTTTTGCTGCATTTTCTGCATGTGAGAGCCAGTGAGATACTTTCTCAGAACGATTCAGAGTGTCATCTTCAAATAAACTGGTGCTGTCGGACAAGCAATCTGCATTCATGGGAAATACAAAGATTTTTGTTGTTAGGTGATTTGTTTATATACTGTGGATACATGTCAGTATCACTATCATGAAATGTTTGATTAATTGCAGATTGATTAGTTACAAATATTTAAGGATTGATTCGATACAAATATTCAGGCTATTATCTATTTAGGTAGAGGGTTTTTTAAATAAGAAAGTTGTGTGGGTGACAAAAAAAAAGCAAACTTACAAGGAGAGTCCAGATGGTCAGCAGTTGTCCCTTGTCTGAGATATGTGTCCTTGGATTCACTCTTTAGATCCACCACTGCTGCCTTCAACATCCTCTTTATAAGTTCATCCTCTCGTCTATTCCACTCCTCTTCAGTCAGTATCTGGGATACTGTTTTCATTGGATTGCTTTTCTCATTTTCTAGAGTGAAGTATTCACCTCTGTTTCTTGCCACCATCACTTTTATCGCCTTCTGTAAATTAGTGCCTATCGAGGTGCATAGATCTTCTAGCAGGCAGCAACTAATTGGAACAAAATATCTGTTTTCACACTTTTTTACTAATCTCTGAAGGGCTTCACCTTCACATGCAATGAAGTGTTCAACAGGCCTGTTGTTCAGCCAGTGTACCATTGAAAAAAAAATTAGAGTATGTCTCCAGACTCGCTCTCCAAAAAGGCCCATGAGCTCCATCACTGATTGTTGAGTTTTCTCTGTAAAAGCCTCGTTTACAGGCAGCACTAGCAGGAATGCATGTGGACCTGGTGAACAAATGGTCACACTGTTTAAAATTTCTCTTGCATTTTGAGTTGATGTTGACCAGCCTGGAGTGTCAACCACAGACTTGACATCCTCCAACTTTACTCTGTTTCATCACACATTTACTACTTCTTGGCATTGTAGGAATTTCAAATGCCTACACATAACAACAACAGTTATGTTAATCTCTCGTAGCTGCATTGTTTGTGTTATTTTTACATACAATAGAGGAATGAAGCAAGTGATATTCTAGTGCTTCAGTTCCTACTTTTTGAGGAAGGAATGAAGTACCTCCTTTGGGGGAAATAAAGATTCTCCTCGCAGAATTATGTTTCCTGCCATAAATTTCCAGGTATCTTCAACTCCAAGAAGCACAATCCTCAGTTCTGCCAGCTTTATTTCTAGTATTCAGAGGAAGTGGAAGGATGCGTATAAAGAATTATTAATTTTGGCAATATATAATTTGCCAGATTATGGACAATAAAACGGTACTTGCCTCTTAGCAGCTCTTGAATGATTTGGGTTTGCCTATTCATTTTTGTCATGTTTGTTTTAGTTGTTTTCAGCATCAGGTCAATTTCCAGACACGGATTGCTTTCCATCTCTGGTACATAGTGAGAGTTGTTGTTTTCCATCATCATTTCCTCAATTTTCTCCAAAAGTTCTGTGACTTGTGTGTGGTCAGTGTGATTCTTACAGTTAAAAACATGGTATCTGTTCCCACACTTTTCAATCAGAAGCTCAAGATGTTTGTCTTCTTTTTCAATACGTTCTTCAATAGTTGTGTCCCCAAGCCAATCTCCCATGGTGAACAGCACAATTGTATGATTCCAGACCTTTTCCCCTAAAAGACCCATGTGTTTCTCCACAGCTGTGTGAACTGTCATTTCAAGACATGTGAGGATAGGAATAATTAACAAAATGACATGTGGACCAGGTGCACATAGATGCACACTGCGTCTGATCTCCAGTTTGTCCATCTCTGGTGTCTTTTCAACAGGATAGTTGTAGTACCAGCCTGGAGTGTCGACCACTGTCAGTCTCCTATTGTGCACTTTAGCCTGATTAATTGCACAGCACACTGTTGTCCTTAATGTCTTTGGTCTATTAACTGCAAAAACTTTTTTGCCCAGAATGAGGTTGCCTGCAGAACTCTTGGCACCCTGTACTGCTCCAATAAGCACAATCCGTATATCAGTCTTATGTTGTTTCACATCTAAATAGGAGAGAGCTTGTAAAATTATATTTCTGATTCAAAATCAATCAATAACCTTATAGTTTACATAAAGAACATTTGTTTGAATTCAGCACAGTTCCAGCATGAAATCATTGCATCAGTATACAGACATATTTTTGTAAAGTAATGAATGCATCAGTCAAATAAACATATTGTCCATATTGTCATATTCATTGACTCTAAAATAAGGCATCCATGTAAGATTTTCTTACCTCTAATGCATGCTTGGAGTACTCTTTTTCGTCTGTTTGCTTTTGCACTTCCTGTGTCTTGCTTATCTCCTACGGAGATGCCTTTGTCAATTTGTAAATAATGGCCATTGTTTTGGGCTACCATTTCTTCCATTTTTTCCAGCAGCGTGACCACTTGAGAGCAGTCTGCACAACTTTTAATGTTTAGAAAATGATATCTGTTCTGACATTTACCTACAAGCCACATCATGTCTTGACTTTCTTTAATTTTTTTTTTCAAAGGAGCAACACAGCTGAACAACACAATAATGTGTTTCCAGATCTTATCTGACAATAACTCAAGTTGACTCTCCAAAGGAGCTCTACAGATATGTGGAAAATTAGAATTGACAGGAATGACCAGAAGAAAGGCATGAGGTCCAGGTTGACACAGTGTTGTACTTCTCATGATTTCCAGTCGGTCAAAGTTTGGAGTGTTTTCCACAGAGCAACACCACACCCAGCCTGGTGTGTCAACCACAGTCACATGTCTTCCATGTACTTCTCCCTCTGCTTTAACAGACCGGGTGGTTCTTCTTCCAACTTCAAAAGCATTTCTGCCCAGAATGATGTTTCCTGTTGTACTTTTTCCACTTGCTTCTCTTCCAAAAACATCTCGACCTCCAACCAGTATGATTCTAATCTTAGAAAGACTTTTGTCTTGACAAAAATAAATAAATAAAAAATTGCTTATTCACCATCATGACATTTTAAAACTTGCATGACCCCTATGATTTTAAGAATTTTACTGGTCATTTTTGAGGCATTCACCGTTTACAAGTCATTCTTTTAAAAACATACCTGATGTCATGCTGTCAAGTTTTTTTTCTTCTTTTATTTTAACAGTCTACAGGTTGCCAGTCCTTCAAACAAAATATGAAAAAGAAAGAAAGAAAGAAAGAGAGAAAGAGAGAAAGAAAGAAATTGCAAATACAGTTGTGCCAATCTAATCTTTACTCCAAGTCTAATGTTTTATTTCATGATTGACCAGTACCCATTTTAAGACCCAGACTGAATCATTTTAAAGTCCCTACTAAATCTGAACAATTTTGTCACATTTTCTTTTATGTGGAGGTAATGTATAGTATGATTTAAATATGGTAAATTGTGCTAAAAAAAAAAAAGCTGAGAATACACACACTTTTAATAGTATAAAAATAAAAATCAGTTAAATAGGTAATAAATGCAGAGTAGAATTGTAGATTTTCTTTCTGTAGATTTCTGTTAAACACAGTTTCTGTGCAACCTTACCAATACCCAACATGCATGCATAATCATTAATATGAGTGTAAATTATGAAGATTTATCTCTTACCTTTCCTCCAGTTTTATATTTGGTTATTAACTAAAGATACACTGACAGTTTGACATGTTCTGGCTGTTTGCAACATATTTTAATCAGTCTTCTAAGTTTACTGATCTAACTGGTTTCAACTGGTTTGTGAAAGCATATTACCTTTATTTATATTCATTCCTTACACAGACTAGCCACTCCCTTATGCACTCACCTTACAGTGGAATTTCTTGTCATGTCTTGTCTTGCTTATTTTCCTTCACCCTTATTCTTGGCATTGGCTACGTTTACATGCAACCAAATAATCAGTTTGTAATTGGATTGACGGCTCAAACGGACTGAAAAGCCTTCATGTAAATACCTTAATCGATCTGACTGAGCTTGATCGGAATGAAATTTCGATCGGATTGAAGGGGGTGGTTTATTCCTTTTCTAATACGATTGAGAGTGCATGTACACACTCGATCAGATTGAACCCCGAAACTGAAAGGACTGCGCATGTGCAATGACGCAGAAATAGCGTAATGACGTATGACGCGCGGAACGAACGGCTCTTCCTTTTGAATAAAGTGTTGTATGAATGCATGTCCTGTCATTATAAAACTCTCCTTTCACTCTGCAACTGTGAAGTGGAGCAGGACAACTTCCCACCAGTCCTTGTTTTGGATTCTCATCCACAGGCAATCCGTTGTGGGCGCGGGGAGGGGCATTTTTACTGCGTGATAAATATGAGCAGCACCGCACAGCGATTTATATGTATATTTATCCATAAATGGATACGTATTAATTATACTGTTAAAAACAAATAAAGAAACCGTGTAGGAGAGTGGTTATTATGTGCAAACAGTTGAGAAACTCTATATTTGTGCAGTGTGCGCATGTCAAAAAAAAAAATTCAGATTTGAAGCTTGTGACATATAAACGCGCACATCAACCCGATCACTTTATTTAGCGTTCATGTAAACACTAAATTCAGATTCATCAATCTGAATTAATTCAGTCCGATTGAACCCAAAATTTTGCATATAAACGTAGCCATTGTGCTTTTCCATTGTTTTACTTTTCAAAAGTTGACTGGATTTAAATGAGACTGTGTTGGAAAAACTGATGTTAGTGCTCACAGCAGATTCTGGTCTAGGAGTGTTTGTCTATCTCTGTCTAAAGACCATTCTGAATTTGAGGTGTTAGCAATAATCATTTAATTAGAGGAATTGACAAGATATTGATTACATACTACAGTGTACTGAAAAGAGCCTGAAAAATACTATTTCCGTGTTTTTTTACTTCAAAATTTCACATTTTGTTACTTGAGTTTGAATTTGTCTATGTTACCTTCAAAACTCAGGATTTCTGTTTATATGTGTTTATATTTTATGTTTATTCATGTTCCACATTGGCAGTCACAGAAAAACACTAACACATAATATTATGATTACGTTTGTTAGAGTTCATGTTCAAGGCTTATTAGCCTTATTAGCTCATTCTGGGATGGTAATAAAAGACAAGTATAATATTTGGAAAATCTAGTATTTCTATCATCATTTTCTATGTCATATTTCTATTTTCTACATAGTATTCTATATTTGATACGGTTTTAGAATGTGCAAAATTCTATAAATCTTACGTTTGATACTGCCATTTGAATACTTCAAATAACACACACAGTCACCTAACTTGATGTAACAGAGCTAAAATAAGTGGTTGTGTTCTGTCATCACTTTGCAATCACATCACAATTCACGGCTTTGTTACACATGCATATACATAACCCATAAGTCTTGCCAGACATTCAACATAATATTTATACCTTTCTTCCTATGAAATAGAAGAAAGTATAGAATAAAGTATATAATTAAAATAAGTTATTCATCTTAAAGGGGGTCATATGACGTTGCTAAAAAGAACATTATTTGGTGTATTTGGTGTAATGCAATGTGTTTATGTGGTTTAAGGTTCAAAAAACACATTATTTTCCACATAATGTACATTATTGTTTCTCCTCTATGCCCCGCCTTTTCTGAAACGCGTCGATTTTTACAAAGCTCATCGTTCTAAAAAAGCGAGGTGTGCTCTGATTGGCCAGCTATCCAGTGCGTTGTGATTGGCCGAATACCTCAAGCGTGTGACGGAAATGTTACGCCCCTATACTGTGATGCCGTCTTCCAGCAGGACGAGACTAAACCAATAAAACCCATTACAAATTAGGCATTTGTTGCATCCAGTGGGGACATAATTACTGATTATAATGACTTACAACCCTGGACAACAAAACCAGTCATAAGTGTTAATTTTTTGAAATTGAGATTTATTCATCATCTGAAAGCGGAATAAACAAGCTTTCAATTGATGTATGGTTTGTTAGGATAGGACAATATTTGGCTGAGATACAACTATTTGAAAATCTGGAATCTGAGGGTGCAAAAAAAATCTAAATATTGAGAAAATTGCCTTTAAAGTTGTCCAAATCCTTAGCAATGCATATTACCAATCAAAAATTACGTTTTTATATATTTGCAGTAGGAAATTTACAAAATATATTCATGGAATATGATCTTTACTTAATATCCTAATGATTTTTGGCATAAAAGAAAAATCAATAATTTTGACCCATGCAATGTATTTTTGGCTATTGCTACAAATATACCCCAGCGACTTAAGACTGGTTTTGTGGTCTAGTGTCACATATCTGAGTCCATGCCAGTCTGCTGGTTTTTGGCTGTTGGAATGTCTTTTCTGATATTTTCCACATTTGGATGTTGAGAACTTGAGCTAGTGCTCTTGTTGTGATGTCCAGATTTATAAAATAATTTATACATGGCATACAGGTAAAGTGAACGTACACCAGAGATTTGTGTATCAGCTGTAGAAACACTGGTGTTATCCGACAATGAATCTCCACTCACTGAAATTACAATAGATATTGTTAGCTTTCATTTTTATGTATGCATTTATATACTTATGCATTTATATTATATACTTACAATCTCTTGAATGAGTTGGAATATCTTTTTTGACATCATCTGTCATTTGATCTTCAGAATGGGATGTATTGCTCTTGCTGTGATATCCAGATGATGGTACTTGACATTTTTTAGGCTGGAGCCTTTGAGGTACAGCAGGGTTTTGTGCATCAGCTCTGGTGCTTTGAAATTCTCCACTCACTGAAAATACAGCAAATGTTGTTTGATTGCTTTTGTTTGCGTACAGTATGTACTATGCATACCTAAATATTAGTGCAGCTTTGTGCAGTGGAATTTTCAAATTTTAATTCATTGATAGTAGATTGTATACAATGACAGATACATATAGCATAATTTTAAAGGGGTCATATGATGCTGCTAAAAAGAACATTATTTTGTGTATTTGGTGTAATGAATTGTGTTTATGCGGTTTAAGGCTAAAAAAACACATTATTTTCCACATACTGTACATTATTGTTTCTCCTCTATGCCCCGCCTTTCTACTCCAACGCGTCGATTTTTACAACGCTCATCGGTCTGAAAAGTGAGGTGGTGACGTAGATATGTGGGGGCGTGTTTAAACGAGGCGTTTTAGGAGGGCGTGGACCAGTCTTAACTTTTATAAAGAATATCTCTTTGGGTTTGAGACTTTAGTCTTTGCAACTTTAGGGATCTTATCTATTTACGAACAGCTTGTAACACTCCAAAGAGAAAGGAAAACTTGAAATCGCATGATATGACCCCTTTAATGAAATAATCACCTGTGTAATTTATTATATTAACAATAAACTTGTTTCACAAAGTTTGAGAGCCAGACAGTTACAAGAACTTACTACTAGGGATTGCGTAGCTAAAGCTTCCTCTGCGTCTGGCAAATGGCTGCTTGGATTCAGCATCCAGGTCTGCAACTGCTACCTCCAGCATCCTCTCTATGAGTTCATCCTCATGTTTTTTCCATGTCTCTTCCGTCAGTGTCTTTGACCTTGCATATTTTTGGGATGTTGAATCTCTCCTCTTCTTTTCTAGAGTGAAGTATTCCCCTCTGTTTCTTGCTACTGTGTCTTCAGTCATCTCAAATAATTTAGTGGCTTGAGATTTATTACCCAAGTCATTCACTAGTACATAATACCTGTTTTCACACCTTTCTACCAGGCTCTGAAGGGCTTTTCCTTCATACACAATGTACTCCTCAGTCGGTCTGTCCTTTAGCCAGTGCCCCTCAGTGAATAAAATTAGAGTATGTCTCCAGACTCGCGCTCCAAAAAGGCCCATGAGCTCCATCACTGTTTGTTGAGTTTTCTCTGTAAAAGCCTCATCTACAGGCAGCACTAGCAGGAATACATGTGGACCTGGTGAGCAAACTTTCACACTGTTTAAAATGTCTTTTCTTGCATTTCGAGTTGATGTTGACCAGCCTGGAGCGTCAACCACAGAGATTTGACATCCTCCAACTTTACTCTGTCGCATTACACATTGACTTATTCTCATGATTTTAAAGTCCTACATAGAAAAACAACATTACAATTAAAATGAGCTCTTATAATAGAATCAAAAAATATATAAATAAAGATAACACTTTATCATTGAACGAAGTACCTTTCCCAGCCTATTCTCAAAAAATTGTCCTTGCAGAATGATATTTCCTGATGTACCTTTCCCAACTCCTTCAACTCCAAGAAGCACAATCCTCAGTTCTGAAAGATGTTTTTTCCTTTCTAGTGTTTAGAAAGAAGTGATTAGCATGAATATTATCCTCAGATAATTGTCATACTAAATAAACAATGTGTGTCTTTTATGCAATTTCATAGATGCAAGATGGAAAATAAAGTTGTGCACTTACCCTTAAGCAACTCCTGCAGGATAGCCCTTTCCCTTCTCACCTTTTTCATGTTTGTTCTAGTTGTTTTCAGCATCAGGTCAATTTCCAGACACGGATTGCTTTCCATCTCTGGTACATAGTGAGAGTTGTTGTTTTCCATCATCATTTCTGCAATTTTCTCCAAAAGTTCTGTGACTTGTGTGCGGTCAGTGTGATTCTTACAGTCAAAAACATGGTATCTGTTCCCACACTTTTCAATCAGAAGCTCAAGATGTTTGTCTTCTTTTTCAATACGTTCTTCAATAGTTGTGTCCCCAAGACAGTCTCCCCACGTGAACAGCACAATTGTATGATTCCAGACCTTTTCCCCTAAAAGACTCATATGTTCCTCAACAGCTGTGTGTACTGTCCTGTCATAAGATATGGCAATGGGAATAGTTAACAGGATAGCATTTGGACCAGGTGCACATAGATGCACACTGCGTCTGATCTCCAGTTTGTCCATCTCTGGTGTCTTTTCAACAGGATAGTTGTAGTACCAGCCTGGAGTGTCGACCACTGTCAGCAGTTTTTCATCCACTGCTGCATTTTTAACATTACAACACACTGTTGTCCTTGGTCCACCAACTTCAAAACTTTCTTTTCCAAGAATGAGGTTGCCTGCAGAGCTCCTTGAAGCCCATGATGCTCCAAGCATCACAATTTGTATTTGAGTTAGATCTTGTAGATCATCTACAAAGGAGAAAGTACTGATTACATGGCAGTAAATGTGATTGAATCAACAGTGTTTAGACTTTACAGTATTCTGTAAAATAATTCATTAAACATTTTTTAATTAAACATTTAATTAAACATTTGCCATGTAGTAATATTTACTGACTGTTAAAATACAGTAAGGCATATATGTAATAGCTTTTTACCTCTAATGTGTGCTTGGAATTCAGCTCTTCGTGTTTCCATAGCAAGAATTCTCTTGTTGGCGCTTTTAGTTGTTGTGTCCTCTCTCTCATCCAGTGCAAAGGCACTTTTGTCCATTAAGTATTGACCATTGTTTTGAGCTATTATTTTCTCAATTTTTTCCAGCAGTGTGATCACTTGAGAGCTGTCTTTGCTGTTGTTAATATTAATAATGTGATATCTGTTCTGACACTTCTGTAGAAGCCACTGGAGGTCTGGCCATTTTCTAAGACTATTTTTTAAAGTGTTGTCATCATATGGAGCAATAGAGGTGAATAACACAATGATGTGACTCCAGACTGTCTCAGACAAAAACTCTAATTGTTTCTCCAAAGCCATTCTTTTCATTTGTACAAATCTTATATCTTTGGGAATGACCAGAAGAAAGGCATGAGGTCCAGGTTGACACAGTGTTGTACTTCTCATGATTTCCAGTCGGTCAAAGTTTGGAGTGTTTTCCACAGAATAATGCCACCACCAGCCTGGTGTGTCAACCACAGTCACATGTCTTCCATGTACTTCTCCCTCTGCTTTAACAGACCGGGCGGTTCTTCTTCCAACTTCAAAAGCATTTCTGCCCAGAATGATGTTTCCTGTTGTACTTTTTCCACTTGCTTCTCTTCCAAATAACTCTCGACCCCCAATCAATATGATTCTAATCTCAGGTGACTTTTCAGCTAGAAAAGAAGAAAATATATAAATATATATTAAAAAAAACTGTTTTAATCAACCAGACCATTATGATGAAGTTGCATCAAAAAATGATTCATACAGAAAAGCTATTCAAAAACTTACTGTGATGAGATGTAGGGGAAATTTCCAGAAGCTCTGTGTTTTGCTCTGTCCGTTGCTCTGACATCTTCCCTTTTTTTGTTTGAGACTTTTTATGCAGGGTTTGTTAATTTCTTTTGAACCGTAACATGCCACGTGTCTTGTTTTGCCTTTTTGCGACTTTTCTGATGCAACAGCTTCACCGAATTCCTTGTTTTTGTTCAATATTATATTTTTACAAGCTCATGAGTATGTTTGTGTTCTTCAAACATTTAATTCACTTTCCTGAGAAAAAAACATGAATCCTGGAAAAGTCCTTAACAGAACATTAAATAGATCTTTCTTTTTATCAAAATATACTGTAAGCAATAGCATATACTATTGGTTTCATATAAGCTGTGAGACACACCACACGCATGGACGCAACAGACATGTGGTTTACAATTTGCTGTAAAGGTATCACTTTCTCTTCCATGTCAGAGATTTGCAATGTGATTTGTTGCGAATTCATATTCTAATATCTGTATCCATGTGAAGTCGGTAATTGCAAAGCAGCATGCATTGGAATTGAAAGAATTACATATGTCTTAAAAAAAACATCAAACGTTACTTGAATACTTGTTTGGTGCCATTTATTCAAATGTAAGCTATAAAGGACTTGTCTTAAAGCATTATTTAACACAACATAAGCTAATCATCTTTACACTAATTGAGACTCTCATTCCATTTATTGTACTTGCATGCAAATAATTAAGTGAACGAACAACACCTACATTGATTTAACTGTAAATGTATAAGCATACATGCATGCAAATAATTACAACTTCACTTACCTTTTCTCCACTCCGATATGGGGTTATTTACCAAGTCTGTGTGCAACACATTTGAATCTGCCTGCCAGCATAGCTGATGAAACAGGTTTTTAAAAGGAAATAGCATTAATATAATTCTTTCAAAAAACAGACCACACCTCTATGCGCTCACCTCACAATGATTTTTTTCATGCCTAGTATTGTTTCCTTGTTTTCCAACCGTTCTTATCAGCATAATCCTTTTACACTAGTTTAGGTTTCAGACATGGATTTCAGTTTAGTTTGAATCCTTTTGGAAGTTATTGTGCCTCATACTATAGGTGTTAGTGCTCAGAACAGCTTTTGGTCCAGCAGTGTCCATGTCTTACTTCCTCCTTCGCAGAGCACTTAACAAAGAGAGAGGTGTGGAATATCTGCGCCAGTGCAAGACAGGGAAAGTGAATACTTTGCAGATGTAATAATATTTTACAATATCATGGTTTGTACTGTATGTCTGATCAAACAAAAGCAGCCTTGGTGAGCATAAGCAACTTTTTTCAAAAACATTAAAAACTCATAATTATTCCACACTTTTGTGTATAACATCAAACTAGTTTTATGTTTGCCCAGATATTTTTTTCATTACTTTTTAATATCAATAAATGACTAGCAAATATGAAAACTGAAATTTAACATTATTATTATATGATTAGAAAAATGTATAGAATAATTTCAACAACTGGAACACTAATAATTTTGTAGTAGTGTAGTGCACATAATTCAAAAAGTGCATTATTGTTGGTGTATATGTGTATTTGGTCTTAGGGAGTTTGCCAAAGAAAGAGAGCGAGTGGAGAAGAGGCAGGAGTTCTTGAAGCTCCGCAGACAGCAGCAGATTGAGAGAGAGCTCACCGGATACCTGGAGTGGATATGCAAAGCAGGTATTACGACTACCTTTACTAGAATTTACTTAATAACACACAGGCGCTTCAAACAATTCTCAGAAATGTATCTAAAGTCTTTTCAGGGAGTGGTGACAGTATGCAGTTACATTATATTTTTTGTGCCAAAAAAGTGTAACTTTGCCAAAAAAGCCTAATTTTATACTTTTTTGCCATTTAGTTGGATTTAAACATGTGGCTTTGTAGTAGCTTTGTGATTTGTAATGGTTTCAATCTTTGATATTGGTACTCTGTGATATTTGTTCATTGCAGAGGAGGTGTTGCTGGCAGAGGAAGATCAGAATGCTGAGGAGAAATCCCCCCTGGATGGTGCGTGGTACAGGTGGAAACCGAACAACCCAGGTGAAAAGAGGCCGAGGGTCCATGGGTCTGGTTTACCATAGTATCATATGATAAACCAGGCCAGTGGAAAGTAGCTCTTGTTATATGAGCCCTCATATGTGATCTTGATTTTGCACAATGTGGCAAACTGCGGCTTTTGGCGTGGTGTTTAGAATTTGATCTTTTCACCTGGGCACAGTTGCTAGATAATAATTGAACCCATATTGTACAAAGGCTGGTTACAGTATTTTTTAAGTTACAAGAAATAAATGATGTCAAGTCAGTGTTATATTTATATGCTAATGTACTCCTGAAAACAGATGAAATTAATTTAACAAAGCTGATAGCGAGTGGCAAATTATGGATTGTGGCTTTGGAATAAACTAAGGACATCCGGATATAAGAGCCCTTCAATATGTCATACCTCAACTTCCAGTTTAATCATGAATTATGTGAAGACAAAAAAAAGAAAAGAAAATATTTGTTCTGTTTTTTCCCTAATGCCATATTGTCCATCTTACCTACACTGTCACTGTGAGCTATTGCACTTTCTCACAGACTCTCTGTTTTATGAAGGCCCATAATCTCTGTCAATTTGGGCTGTTTTGTAAGCCAGAAGTAATTGCAGAGATTAAGACGACTAGGATAGTTGGATTAGTTACACACACATGCATGTCACACAGTGTTGGGCACTAACTAGCTAAGTAGCAATAATACTAACTTAACTATATTTTCTGCAGCATAACATTAGTTCAACTGCTTTCAAAATGCAGGTAGGGCCATTTTCTCAGTACCAGCTGCAATTTTGGTTTATTTTAGTTTTATTAGTTGTATTATTAATATAAATTTACTTGTTTAACTATAATGTTGTAATCATAAATGTAACTGTTTATTCAATACTTCAATACAATTCGTTTAATATTTTTGTAAAATAAATACTATTTAATCGTGTATAAATTCAGTACTTTGTTATTTTGTGACCTGCTAAACTGCTGTTATTGATGAGTTGACATTGTCATATATTTTTGTCCAGCTGCTCATCTTCAACAGAATGTCATAACATATGTTTTCTGTACCTTCACTATCAGGAAGAGGGCAGGTCATTAAACCCGCGGTTACCAAATCTTCCGGTGTAATTAGTGGTGTCGAGTGGACCTATGCATTTAGTGAAGATGGAATATGTAGAGAGAGAAAGTGAAATTGTGAGAGGGGCAGGAATGCAGGTTCATGTTTGTACATGATTGAGTCACTGCAAGATCAGGCCTGTAATGTCACACATTCCTCACTGTTGCCAGACACTCATGTGAAGCTTAAGTAGCAAGTAGAGCTATCAATTAAAAATAAAGATAATTCAAAGACATTACATTATTACGATTTTGTTTGTCGCTTTTATTGTTTTCCAATACTTGCATTAACAAGTATTAATTGTCAACCACTTGTTTCTCATTAGATGAGAACTCTCACAAGCTAGTAGAAATGGGTTCTGGTTTTATTGACATAAAAACATTTGCCAAGAATGTGATCTGATGATGAATTGAAATGTTTCATAGTTTCTCATAATATTTGTGTGTATGTGTTCGTGTATTTATGCATTTTTATGTGCAGTCCTGAAAAGAACGAAGAGCAGAAAGGGTAGAAATGACCTCATCAGTGCTGAAGAGGGAGAGGAACATTTCACAGACATCTCCTCTGTTGGTAAGCCATGACCTTTGACCTTCAGAAACTCTAGGTCACTTTACTGTGATGCATAAAACGTCAACACTTTTCCAAAAGCTACTTAGCCAAAAGCTACTTTTCACAAAGCCGGCATAATAAATGTTTCATAAAAAAATGGAGACAGGAAAGCAGGATCAGGTGACTACTGCTGTGTATTAGTACTAGCAATGTAACCTTAAAATCATTCAAGCTTGATTAGATGTTCTCTCCTATTTGAAATTTAAGAGGCTGATAGAATGCTTTATAATCTTAAACTCATGTTTCTTAGCTTTAAACCATGATGAATAACTAATAACTAATACCGTTTACATTCTTGTCTGTATTTATGTCTTATATCCTAAATGATGAAGTTACAATAGAAGCTCTATGATCAGAGTTGGGGTGTCCCAGACTTTTCATAGTCGAATCGGAATTTTTGAATCTTGGTAATGTATTTTGCCCCGACTTTTGGGGGCGGGGCAAAATACATTACCAAGAGTCAAGTAGTCAGACATTCGACAGTCATAATTACGTTAACACACAGGGAAAATGTGTAACGGACGCCTCGCAGATACAAACGGGGTAAATAATGTTTTATGTTTTGATTAAAAGATAGTTAACATTAAACGTCAGCGAAACCCTAAGAATTCACAACATTTTTTACAATAGTGCTCTCATTATAACGTCATGTATATGACAGAAGTTATTAATGTTCTGCATTTCTGTTTTGAGCTGCGCGCGCTGAAGATGACTAGTAGAATGAAGCAGCAGGTTTTTAATCAATGGGATTTATCTCATCACTTATCTCATATAGAATATGCTTCGTTATTTATACAACATAACGTTAATATTACGACTTATAAGCTATCTGCACAGAATGCCCCGAATGCACATGAACGTGTCTGTGCGGCTCTGAATGAACTCCTTTTGTGGACACGTTCTTCACGCAACAACGTGCAGAAACACAGCAACTAAACTCTAAAAATTCACAGCGTTTTATTATAATAGTGTTCTCATTATAATTGTTATGTATATGACAGTCCCAGTCATAGTTATTAATATTTTGCATTGTTGTTTGTCCTGCTCGCGTTGCGCGCTGAAGAGATAATCACCGTAGTACTACAATGAAGCGCTTTACTGCAGCGCAACTCAACCAAATGCATCTTATACGAGATAAATAATATATACACGATATATATAAACCGGCTGAAATGTTTTGAAATCACTTGCAGCCTACCTGATCGAAAAAATCCAGTAGTTCTATGTGAAATCAGACATTTGAGCATCCCCATATAGCCAAAATGGCATGATCATAACACCCCGCAAATATTCGACTGTGAGATTGGTAGTTGAATCAGGCTCCTCCTATCGAAGCATCGAATCTTCGACTATTCGGGGTCACCCCTAGATCAGAGTTTAAGCATCTTCCTTTTATGAATGTATTTTTTTAATCTCTAGCTCCACCTGGATCACCTTTCGCCCGAGCTAGCCTGAAGAGCAGTAAGAACGATAGCTCTTCATATTTCCGTCGAAAAGAAAAGAGGATACGCTTTTTCATTCGGCGGATGGTGAAGGCACAAAGTTTCTACTGGATCGTTCTGTGTTTGGTGGGATTGAACACGATGTGTGTGGCCATTGTCCATTACGACCAGCCTGAGTGGCTCACCAAGGCCCTGTGTAAGCAAAGCAAATACAACATTTATTCATATACTGTGTCTGTGTCAAAACATTAAATTTTTTTTTTTTTGGCTATTTGTTTGATGTTTATTATTGTGTCTTGTTAAATTGTAGTAAAATTAAGATTTAATTAAATAGTTAAATTATACTAAAATAACTAACATTTTTTGTTTAAAAGATGGATCCTCTGACTGAACAACATCTATTTAGCAATTTAAGAGCAAATGAAATATTTAGATATAAATATATTTCAATAAATATTACATTTAATTATTTTAAATATAAAATAAATGTATATAAAATTTATGTAATAATTAGTTTAGTTTAGTTTAGTTTATTTCATTTATTTAACAGGGACCATGCACAACACAAGTGTTGTGCCAGAGTTAGCTACGGAGTTAATTTGCATCTGCAGTCCCTGGGCAGGATATTGTTACAAAATTACAATACTCCATCACAAACAATACAATACATACAATATCACATCACACTCCATAGAATGAACAAATGGTCAGTGATCGCATATTTGATTTTCCTTAAGCCATACTTTAAGTGTAGTTTTAAAAAATACTGAATGTTGTACACTCTCTATATAAACAGGTACTGAATTCCATCTTTCTGCGGCTCTAACTGAAAAAGCTGATTGTCCAAAGACAGTTTTCTTAAATTTAGCCGAACAGTCGCCTCTAACTGATGACCTAGTCTCCTTAATATTTTCCTTACAGAAAGCCACACATTGTTTAAGAGGTGGTGGTGCAAGATCATGAATTAGTTTATACATCAAACACACATCTGCAAAGAATAAAAAAATTATCAAACGCCAATAATTTATCATTTTTTAATAATAATGCAATGATGATAACTCCTTGGCTTTTTAGCTAAAAATCTCACAGCTTGTTTATAAATAGTATATAATGATGTTAACATGGTTATACTTGTTTGGGACCAACTTGTAGCACAATAAGATAGATGTGGGGGAATCATTGTATGCATAAAACGTTTAGCAGGAGCCATAAGATAATTGGTGCCTAATATTGGTGTCTAATAAGATCATCAAGCTTGCTCTAGCACTTCTAGAAACCTTTTTAATATGTTTTTTAAAATTTAAATTAGAATCCATAATCTTACCCAAATATTTAAAATGCTCAACAATATTTATTACTTCTCCTTTGACTAAAATATCCGGACAACGCTCATCAACTCTCTTAATTGAAAAGTACATTCCCACAGATTTCCTCACTCAATGAAAGTATATATTATTTCTTTTATCTGTGTTGCCCAGCTCTACCTTGTAAGAGCATTAGTTTTGAAGGTTTGTGTGGGAAAAGCTTGGGTTTTGACAGATAACCTAATCTCTCCTTTCATTTCTACGGGCTGTTAGACCTGGCAGAGTTTGTATTCCTGGGTCTGTTTCTGACAGAGATGACTCTGAAGATGTATGGCCTGGGGCCCAGAAACTACTTTCACTCCTCGTTCAACTGTTTTGACTTTGGGGTGAGTCACAGCACACATGATTCAGATGGGCCAGTCAGTCATTATCAGCCACTGTGATACTTATGTCTACACTGAATCACCACAAGGCCGTTCATGAGTTGTAGCTTACCAGCTTACTCACATTCACTCCAACTGTCATTTTCTTGGTAGATTTTATGTGTATTCTAGTTACCTTTTAAGAATTTATTTTTTTCTGGTTAATATTTTAATACATTTCATTTAAATGAGACGCTACACAAAATAAACTCGTATAACTGAGAGGTTCTTGGTGATTCTTGATTTCTCAGGTAATTGTGGGAAGTATATTTGAGGTGGTGTGGGCAGCGATCCAGCCTGGTGCATCTTTTGGGATCAGTGTTCTGAGAGCCCTGCGCCTGCTCCGTATTTTTAAAGTAACCAAGTAAGTAAATGAATACACTGCTGATTTGTGAATGCTTTCAAACTTGGGTTGGGCCAAAACAATCACATATCTAAATATTGCAACTGATATTGCACTGATACTTCAGATCAGAAATTCCTGATACTTCAGACCCAAACCGCATGACCAAGATTTTTTACATAAAGTACTCCCTGAAACTAGCGTTTAATAAATCTTTACATGTTGTCCATCACAAATGTTTAAAACTAATGAATACTATTTTAATATTATTGATATTATATTTTTTATTCATATATTCCTTATATTTTTAAATATAACTACATATATAATATACAAATATGTGTGTATATTTACATATACTTCAAAATTAATTAAAAAAATTTTTTTTTTATAAAACGTTAATTCTATGTGTTAATTCTCTCTCTCTCTCTCTGTAGGTATTGGAACTCTTTGCGGAATCTTGTGGTTTCACTGTTGAACTCCATGAAGTCCATCATTAGCTTGCTCTTCCTCCTCTTCCTCTTCATCGTAGTGTTTGCCCTGCTAGGCATGCAACTCTTCGGGGGCCAGTGAGTGATTTCTGAAATGTTCCTCCATTGTTCTAGCCGTTTCTGTCCAATTCCCCCTCTGGAATAAAGAAATAAATTTAATTTCTTCTGTTGAACATTATTTTATTTTATATGCCCAATATTCTCCACCAAACAATGTGCAAATTAAAAGGTACAGACAACCTGGGCCATGCACTTTTGAAATAATTAATAGGCATAACCTTTTAAAATGCTCATGGTTCACATAACTACAATCACTTAAAAGTGACTGTGCCAGGCAAGAGCAGATTCTGTAAAGATGCTGGAATTGTAAATCTGCATGCATCCTTATGCCTTATGACCACAGCAGGCCTACCATGAAGCTCTGATAGAAGTTTCCATAACACCCCTGTGGCATCTGCTTCAGATCAGTTTTCTGGAGCTGATCTAAAGTCTGACTGCATGTTTGATGTGTCTTCTGTTGGACTGAGATCAGCCTAGGCTCCATCTGCTGGGGTACTGCTGACTTATCCATGAACAAAACTGGTCACAACATGTGCTTAATTGTGCAGTCTCATTTATGTAATGGGGTTGTAAAACATGTCCTACTGTCAAGTGCAGTATTGGTGACACATTTTAATAGTCTTAAGTTTGAGTCGTTGTTGAGAAGAGAAGCTCTGGAGAGATTACTATTTTCCTCAGCCTTCCTGGACACTAGCTGCATCAAAAATCTGTCAATTCTTTTGAATAAGTAATTACTTCTCAGCCATAAAAAAATTACTTTCTATATAGAATGAATGTGTGTAGTATGAATGTAATCCGGACGTACTACATTCGTCATTGTCAAATGACCTACCAGCATCAGTTGTGTCGCTTCACTGCTATTCACAAATCCTCTCCCGTGGCCTCATGGAATAGTAAATTGTCCATTGGATGCACATTTCAGATTCTTGCAGGAAGTATTAAGTCATCCAGGTGCTTTTTGCTTCCCATTTTATGAATACTGTGAATTCATACTACTCTTTTCATATAGCCACTAAATTGACTATACTGTACACATAGCCACTAAAAGTATTATTGTTATTATTATTATTTTTTTAAATGTTGTTATTATTTAGTCTGTTTCTGTTGCCACCTTACATCAGTTAAATCAGAATTTCAGTACATCCATCCATCATCTTCTCCCTTCTTTTCTGCAATCCTTCTGCCCTCGTGCCAACTCTTGTGAGCAGAGAGAGTGATACAGCATGCCAACAGGGATTTAGATCTCTACGCTCAGAGAATTACTGAGCTGATTATGCAGTGTGTCTGCTTGCTTGAATGAAGGGCACCCCGCTGACAACAAGCGTGATGAATGAAAGCTTTAGTCATCATCCTTCCTCTTTCTCTCCCTTTTTAGTGGCATTAGGCTACACGCAACCAATACAGTGTAGCTAGCAGTCAGTTATAAACTGTATCCGTTAAATACTTTTACTTCAAATACATTTTTATTTTATTTATTTTTTATTTTTGCTTACCAGTCAAACCTTGACCCCGTGAGCACAATGGATCGATGTGATCGGATGAATCTGGAGTGTAGTGATAGTGTTAATTTTAGCATTGCAGTATGAGTGTTCACCATCTTATAAACGTGAGCTCTGCACAATTCCGTTGCGCTCCATCCAGCTGCTCTTAACGGCAGAACGCGTTCTGTGTGAATGCCCGTGAGTCATCACAGCCAGACCCTGTGTCTAAAGGAAGAAATGCATATTCAAGAGTCAGATGGAAAATGGTACCCATGAGTCACTCTGCCCTTCCAAATAAAGATCACATGCACTAGTAGAACTATTTTTAATTTGACAGCATTTATGATCTTCATTTGTGTTGATGTGTTCTGATAGGTGGTCATCTTGTGCATGTTGTGACGTCAGTGTACATGCACATCTCCCATTGGCTGTGATGTAATCAGGGTTTAAAGCCTGCAGGGTCTGATGGTATTAACTCACCTGTCTGTGTTTGTTGGCTGTGTTTTTAAGGTCTTGTCTAATGCCCCTAGAGTTTGTTAAATTGCTGTCACGCAGATTACCAGTGAAAGTATTGGAGTTGTAGAGGGGATTGCAGAGTACGAGCATAAACATTCAAGTGGTTTGAAGAGACTTTATAATTTAGTCTTTGATCGTTGAGTTTCATGACCCCTGTCTGTGCCTGTTAAAATGCTCTGAGTGAAGTGGTTATTTTAATTCTTGTGTTTCAGAGAAATGTCTGCGGTTGATATAACCAACTTGGTATGTAAATTAGATGAATTATTTGAGATCTTTCCCTCCAGCAGAACATCCTGTCAAATGAGCCTCTGTCAACGTTTTCATCCTGTTTTTTGTCTTTAGTTTTGAGGGCCCAAGGGCCCTGAGGCACAAAGTTGCTCAGGTTTGTTCTCTGAAGTGTTTGCATGTGTAGGTATGAAATACATTTGCACAAAACTGTTAGACGCTTCCCTGGCGATTACAAAATCAGTTGTATTCTTGGTCAATTTTTGCATTTACAGTTCTGTGTAATCAATAATATTCTAAACTTCTTATACTGTATGAGTGAACAGCATTTTGTTTTGTGTGAGGATGCAATAATGCATCTACTGCAGCTTCTGTTGGAAACCTCGTTATGTTAAAGATGTAAGGCTAATGCACACATTCCACGATAAGCCAGGACTGAATGATACATCCTTTCCACCATAATTCACTGTTGTGAAAGCAGGCGTGCTCTGAATCTCCTTTATGAATGGATGAGTCACCAATGTGTTCTTTTGTTTCCCTAGAAGGCCAGACTGTGAAAGGCAATTTGGAGAGAGTTAAAGATGGCAGGACTGAAAGAGAACTCTGAAATCTAAAAATAAAATGCTAGAAAGAGGAAGAGAATGATAGGGATGGATCAAAAAAAGAAGAAAACTGATCCTCCAGTTCATTTAATCTGAGGCAAGGACAAATATTTCTTGCCTCGTGTGCAAGAGGTCATGAATCTGAGCCTGGCTCGACTGACAGTTTGTCGTTATATCAGAAATGGAGGCGTGTGGCTGAATGTTATTTGATTTCAATGGAATTGTGGGTGTGAGAGCATCCATTTTTTTGCATGACATCTATGTTATTAAAGTTTTTAGGGGGTTGAGATGAAAGACAGGGGTGCCAAAGCCCTTCTAGATAGAGATTAGGGTCTCTGTGTTTAACGTTTTCATCCAGTAGGTGAATGAGAAATTAAAATAAAGCTGAAAACAAGCCATATCTCATTTGAGTATGAATGTTACACTGTTCTTAACATTCAAGCCCACAAATGACTGATGATAAGTGCCGTGCTCAAGGGTACAAATGATGGTAAAACAGAATTTTGATCCTAGTAACTCAGTATCTTTGTTTTGACAGCCCTGCGATTAAAGCAAACCAGAACTGACATCAAAATCTTCAGTGTACCTCTGAAGCCTGTTTTACACCAAGTGCACTGAAACTCTCTCTCTCTCTCGTCCCAACCAGGTTTAATTTTGAAGATGAAACTCCCACTACAAACTTTGACAGCTTCCCTGCAGCCATAATGACAGTCTTCCAGGTATACTTTATTTTAATTAGGCCTTATGAATGTTTAATGTGTTTTTTCATGTATTAAACTATAAGACTGTTTGGTGTTCTTGACCTGTTTATGCCTCTTGCAGATTTTGACAGGAGAGGACTGGAATGCAGTGATGTATCATGGGATAGAGTCCCAGGGTGGCGTCCGGGGTGGAATGTTCTCTTCGGTCTACTTCATTGTTCTTACACTGTTTGGAAACTGTATCCTGTCCTACATTTGTTCACATTGTTGGGGCATCAGGGACAAGACTATTTGAAATGCATCTACATTAAAAAGTTCAACATATGGAAAATCAAACAGTGAATATTGTCAGAGGCAAAGAAAATTGTTAAAATAAATACTGTATATTTTAAGTTTATTTATTCAAGAAAAAAAAAAACGTTTTAGACATTTTAATGGAAGAAAGTAGATAAAAAATTCAGTCAAGTTTCTTGGAATTATTGATCAAATGTAAAAATGTAATCTGTTTTAATGCAAATTGAGTGTATATTGAATGAAATGCAATATGAAATACAAACAATTCTCTAACCAGATAACTAGACACACTTCTCAATGTATTCTTGGCCATCGCTGTGGATAACCTTGCCAATGCACAGGAGCTGACAAAGGTAATCTGGCCTTAATAAAGCTTCCTGTCGCCTGATTTATGATCATTTTATTTATTTATTTATTTTGTTGTTATCACGCTTACATTGTCACAAAACACCATGATAATGTAGGTTTCTTTTATCCTAATCTTTCATTTCTGCAATGTCCATGCTTTCAGGATGAAGAGGAACAAGAGAAGGCAGCGAAGAAGAGCATGGCTCTTCAGAAGGCCATGGAGGTGAAGGAGGTCAGCCCAATGTCTGCTGCCAACATCTCAATAGCAGCGTAAGAGTCTGCCTTTTTTCCCCTGTATTTTTTCTTATCCAGCCTTGCGCTATGAAACTTTTCCTCTAATGTGCACTGTAACTGTTATTTGTTACTTCTCTTTTACGTTTTTTTGTGATTGCTTGATTGTTTGTCCAGTCAATGTCAGTGTGACTCTGACCTCCCTTTAAACCTGCTCTGTGTAGTCTGTTCTTCATAAGAGTGTTGCTTTAGGGTGATATGTTATATAAAATCAATGTTATTATAGTTTAATTATGTCATCTGCAGAGATAGTTATTATGGTGCCATATGTGTTTTACATATGCTAATTTTGCCTGAAAGCTTCTGCAAGGTAAAAAAAAAACAAATTACTGACAGGTGGACAGACAGAGTGACATCACCCTGACTGCCATCTGCTCCCTCTGCACTTTTTTCATTTGTGTTTGTGTCTCATTCTTTTGTTTTTGTTTTTTGTTTCACATGTGCAGTTTTGTAAAGCAAAATCGAGATGCAATCTCTCGCAGGTCTTCAGTCTGCAGCGTTCACTCACCGTGAGTTTTGCTCTCACTTACAATACTCCTCTCCTCTCCTCTCCTCTCCCTGTTTCTATTCCTATTCATATTCCTTGTTCCTATATCTCTACCTATTCCAATCTCCTTAAAGCTTTAATCCTCTCATTGTAGCTCATCTCATTGATTTTGGGGAATGATCATAGCATCAATTTTAGTAGTAAACAAATGCTTTCATACAGAATACGATTAATCAACATTGTCCATCCCAGCACCCTTTTATTTAATTACAGCCATGCATGTCTACATGGCTGGTGTTAGTATGGTTAGTAGTTGATTTCCTTATTTTAGTGCTCTTTAAAGACAACTACACTCCCGAAGTTAGAACTAGAAAAGGAACGTTTGTCAAGGCAAACTTTGAATGTTGGCTTGACAGAATGTTGTGTGAAAAAAATGTTGTCTGTTCTGTTGTTTGAAAAAAAAAAAACTTGGGCAAAAAAGATTTAAGGTTTATATAGTTATATATACTGTAATATATACTGTATATACTGTAGTTAATATTTGCTAGCATGTTGCTAGACAGTGGCTTAGATGTTTTAGATGGTTGCTAGATTGTTGTTAAGCAGTTGCTATAGTATGCTGGGTGGTTGCTAGGTTGTTGCTACAGGATGGATGGATGGATGGATAGATAGATAGATAGATAGATTTTTATAGAGAATAAACAAAGAGAGAAAGAAAGAAAGAATGAATGAATGAATGAGTGAATGAATGAATGAATATATGAATCTTTAACACCAGGTTAGGAAAGAAATTCAGAGACATTAATTAGAAAGCCCACAAATATTGTTAAACCATTAGATTGGTTTCATTATTTTACACTACGTGTGGGTACTTAGAGCTTGTTATTTCTTCTTTACATGGTCTCCCTTTGTCCTTAGATAGATGTATTATATATGTGAAGGCACTGAGAGCCTCCAGCACTTTGATTACATCATTTTGATAGTGGTTAACTTTTCCAATATGAATGAAGGCCAAGCTAAACAGAGCAGTCTGGGTGTGCTGTCTGCAAGCTTCAGTGACTATTTGGATCAACGGCCTTTGCAATGTGTGGTTTTGGGCTTTGTGTGTGTGTGTGTGTGTGTGTGTGTGCAAGAGATAGAATGGCACTTTTTTCACCAAGAAACAGCACAATCATTTGGTGCATGGAAAGTATATTAAAATCTACGGGTTCATGTTGTTTGTCTCTGTTACGTTTTTCTTTCTCTCTAGTTGTTCTTTCCTTCTCTCTTGACCTCTTTTCATATAATGTGCTTGTTTGTCTTTAACCTGTCTGTCGTTTTTGTGTTGTGCGAACCACCATTCTCGCCGATCCAGAGAGGTCAACGGGAATGGCAACGGCACGATTGGTAATGGAGGCAGAGGCGAGGGTAGGATACGAGGTCACAGAGAGGGCGAAGGAGGGAATGGAGAAAGGAGGAGACTCCGGCCACGTGTTAAAGCCCAGTCCACACTGGATGGAGAAGAATGCAGGGAGAACGGTGGAAAACACAGGTACATTCTCAGACTGTATGGCGGCCTCAGAAACTATTTGGACACTTAAAGGGATAGTCCACCCAAAAATACAAATTCTGACATCATGTACTCACCCTCATGTCTTTTCAACCTGTATGCATTACTTTTTTTCTGCAAAAATACAATAAAAATAAATAAAAATTCTGACATCATGTACTCACCCTCATGTTTTTTCAACCTGTATGCATTTCTTTTTTTTCTGCAAAAAAAAAAAAAAAAATTTAAAATTCTGACATCATGTACTCACCCTCATGTTTTTTCAACCTGTATGCATTTCTTTTTTTTCTGCAAGTCTCTGCTTGAAAAAAAATTCTGCTGCTTTTCTTTAAAATACATGGCATTACTTTGATGTTTTGTTTTATAATGCAATGTCATTCATCATTTAAAGTGAGACATTTTGAAGCCGTGTACATGCTGAATAGACTGACATTAAATGCATGATCAGACATGGCATTTTCCCTAAAATGTCATTGTTGCTTTGACCATGTTGTCTCTACAGAGTGAGACGGCTGTGTCATTATGTGGTGAACCTACGGTACTTTGAGATGTGTATCCTCACAGTCATCACCATGAGCAGCATCGCCCTCGCTGCTGAAGACCCTGTGCAGGCCAATGCCCCGCGCAATGATGTAAGACACACAGACCTACCTGGAAATGTCAGGAAATGTAAAATCTGTAATTTCCAAATCTGAAAAAGTCAATATATATTTTTACATATATTATTTTCATGTAAGTTATACAATTTTTGTCTTTTCATATCAGGTTTTTTTTATTTTTTATGTCCATTTATTAAATGTTATCTATAAAATCCAGCAAACGCTGATCTCATTGACACTGTCTTTCACTGTAAGCTGGGGTTATGACATCAGTGGTGTTTACATAACTCAAGAACAGTCCTGTAGGGCAGTATGGAAGCCCTTGTCTGAACTGTCATGCTGAGGGTTGTCACTAGCCCCACTTGACTGGCTTTTGCACCATATTTTTATTTCGGGACAGCCCGTGAGCAGACTTAAGGGGTTAGTTGTCATATACACCTAGGATGCCTCAGGGGTGAGTAAAACGCAGCCTAATTTTCATTTTGAGGTGAACTAACCCTTTAAGCACCTAGTGCCACCGCATTAGCCCATAAGCGTAGCTTATTAAGCATTGCTCTCTGAATTACAGAGAATTATATGTAAACATGTCTCCAAGAATCCTATAGTCCACTGTCTTTTCCTTCTAATTGATTCCCTGAGCATCATCGGCTTGTACAATGAATCTCTGCTTTCAGTATTTCCCAGCTGTTCATGTGGGAGGAATGAAAGATAGAAAAAAAAATGAGTATTTATTTGAAACATCTATTTTTGTCTCTCAAAAAATACAATGTACATCATGTCTGTTCTGTTTGGGAGATTATTGAATTACTCACTGAATCATAGCTGCAGTGGGGCCAAACACTATGGTTTATTCTGAGATTTTTATATTATTTATGGCATCATCCACTTTCCTTTGCGCAAATGGTTTGTGGGACTTCAGAAATATGAAGAAAATAACTGCTTATTTCTAACTCCTTATTTCTTGTGGTTTCCTCAGGTGCTGAAATACCTAGATTACGTCTTCACTGGTGTGTTCACATTTGAGATGGTTATAAAGGTAAATACAACTGCCATTCATCTATTTTTTTTAAAACTTGCAATATTCAATAATATTGATTTTAATTTTTTTAAAACAGTTTATTCACACTACCCTTCAAAAGTTTAGGGCTTCTATGATTTTTAATGTCTCTTGAAAGAAGTCTCTTATGATCACCAAGGCTGCATTTGTTTGATCAAAAATACAGTAAAAGCTGTAATATTGTGAAATATTATTACAATTTAATATAAATATTATTACAATAATAAGAAAACAGTTGTGCTGCTTAACATTTTTGTGGAAACTGAGATACATTGTTTTCAGGATTCTTTGAATCTTTAATAGAAAGTTCAAAAGAACAGCAAATTTTTTAAACAGAATATTTTGTAACATTACAAATGTCTTTACTGTCACTTTTGATCAATTTAACGGGTCCCTGCTGAATAGAATCAGTACGTTTTTTTGTCTTCTCCCTTCTAGATGATCGATCTTGGGCTGCTGTTGCATCCTGGGTCTTACTTCAGGGATCCGTGGAACATACTGGACTTCATTGTAGTCACTGGTGCTCTGGTGGCCTTCGCCTGCTCGTGAGTGGCTGTTTTTGTAATTCTGTCAGAGTGGAGCAGACAGAGCGGTCAGAAGAGCAGGCTGTCAGTTCAAATCCAGCAAGAGAGCATTCAGTCGAAAATGACGGAAACAGGATGTGACTGTCTGCTGTTTAGTATCTGGTGTGAGATGGAGCTCTGTGATGAGGGGAAGTGTGGCATCTGTGTATAGTTCGGTCTTTGGAACTGATCGGTTTAACGTGCATCTGTTTTTTTTAGCTCATAATAGGATTGTGAATAGTGCGCATAGGATTGTGCATAGCACGGGTGCTAATGATTCGGGTTTAGTATTTCCCACAGGAGCTGAGCCAGACAGTCGCATTTCCCAGCTGTTTGCTTTTAATTCTTATTGTCCGTGACCCATCCATGATAATTAGCAATGATTTCCTAAATGTGCTGTTACTTTTCTTGTTGAATCAATTTATAATTTTAAAGGGGTCATATGATGCAGCTAAAAAGAACATTAGTTCTCTTTTGGAAGACCAAACAAAGTAGTTTCGCTTTCACAAATAAACACACAGCATCTCCACAACAACATTACTACAGCGAGAATAAAAGTTACGTCTTCTTTCTTTGCGTGAACATTTGGGTGGCGTTATGCAAATCTTCCCACATAGTGAGGTAGATATATGGGGGCGTGTTAGAACGAGCCGTTTTAGGTAGGTGTGACTGACTCTTAACTTTTATAAAGAATATCTCTTTGGATTTGAGACTTTAGTCTTTGCAACTTTACAGATCTTCTTTACGCACCAAGAGCTTGTAACACTCCAAAGAGTGAAAAATTGAAATCGCATCATATGACCCCTTTAAAAAAAGCAATGAAACAGCAATAAAATCCACTCACGTAAAAATAAATTAGACTCACATTAAAGGAATTGTTCACTTAAAAATGAAAATTTGCTGAAACTTTACTCACCCTCAAGCCCTCAAGATGTAGATGAGTTTGTTTCTTCATCAGAACAGATTTGGGGAAATTTAGCATTGCATCACTTGCCTCACCAATGGATCCTCTGCAGTGAATGGGTGCCGGCATGAGTCAATGAGTCCAAACAGCTGATAAAAACATCACAATAATCCACAAGTAATCCACACGACATCAATTAATGAAAAATTGCATGTTTGTAATAAATCAATCATTAAGACTCGTTTAACTTGAAACCATTGTTTCCAGCTAAAAAATCAAGTCCACTGTCCATAGTGTTGCTTTCTCCAGTGGAAAAAGTCATTTTGTCTGAATCAGGAGAGAAATATGTACAGACTAAGCTCTGTTTACAAATGTAAATAACAGTTTACAACAGTTAAAAACAGATCTAAACAAATATGTCTGTGGATTTTGATGTGAAAGGACAACAGGGGATGGAACTTTTCACTGGAGGAAGCATTATTATGGATTATGGACTGGTATTTTGGCCAGAAGCCAAATAATTGTGATGTTTTTATAAACTGTTTGGACTTTCATTCTGACGGCACCCATTCACTGCAGAAGATCCATTGGCGAACAAGTGATGTGATGCTACATTTATCCAAATCTTTTCTGATGAAGAAACAAACTCTACATCTTGGATGGTCTGAGGGTGAGTAAATTTTCAGCAAAGTTTCATTTTTGTGTGAACTGTTCCTTTAAAGTAGATACCTGAGCCATATCGAGAGACCAGAATATTGTAGAGTCTTGGGTACTTGAGCCACTAATGGCGCTTTTCCACTGCGTGGTACGACTCGGCTCGGCACGGCTCAGTACGGTACGACACGGCACGGCACGGATCGGTTTGCGTTTCCACTGCAGTTCAGTACTGCTTTAGAGTGGGCGGGATTATTCACATGTCGTTATAGTTGCGCCGCCTCTATTGCCGCGACTCCTGAAAAACTTTTTCATTCCGCGTCGCCCCATCAAGCTCTCGCTGGATCCGTACCAGGTACCAGGTACTGTACCCAGTGGAAACCCCCCCAAAAGTGAACCGTCCCGAGCCGTACCGTGCCGTGCCGTACCATGCAGTGGAAAAGCGCCATAAGTAAATTCCTTCATAGCAATGCCCTTGCAACCACCCACAACACTCTAGCAATGGCATAGCAACGTGCTAACAACCACTCAGAACACTTAGCAACCATAGAGCATCACCATGGCAACCACCATGACATCACAGTGGCTAGTTTCGGACGGGCAACATAATGTATTTTATGAAGCCCGTTGGATACAATTTCCTCTGCAAGGCAAACATAAATGCACAAGTTCGGTTTGACAGCGCGTGTGTGATTTGTGTAATAAATGCAAGGTCTAGTATGAGTGTGGCTGAATCCTCTTAGTTGTCACGTGCAGATGCTCAGCTGTCTTTGTCCACCTCTGCGGTTGACAGAAGGACCCTGGGGTGCTTTCAAATAGCTGAAAAAGAGGTGATAAAAAACTGCTCGGCTTTTGAAACCAGCCTTCTGTGTGAGTTTGCAGCTGTATTATTGAGTAGTGCAGAAACTGTCCATGCATCAACTCCGGCTGGTACCTGTTCTTCTGATGGTGGCACTTCAGCATATCTAGGCATTTGTTCAGCTATGACTCTTTGTTTCTATATGTAACGGAGGCCAGTGAGTAGGTGCTGTGCAGGTAAAACCTCACTCCCCTGATCTCAAGAGACGCATGCCTCCCATGCCGGAGACTCGGGTTCGAGACCCACTCGGAACAAGAACGAGATGTGGTGGTGAGGCCCCGGGGGAGAGGAGTTACATATATATATTGAACAAGTGTAAAACCAAGATAGTTCAAATGTAATATATATTTTTTAGTTTTAATAAAAAACAATGCCTACATAAAAGTGCCTGTACTTAGGGTGGTATCAGCTCTGGTTTCAGTGCACTGTTGTATATTGATTATAAATGTATCTCATACTGTGTTCTGCTCTTTCTGATTCTCTTGTGTTTGTCTCACTTTAACTGTTGTAATCTTCTTCTCTCTCCTGTGCTGTTCTTCAGTAGTTGATAGCAAGCTTTTGTCCTGTGGGCTTTAATGTTTCTCATTTAGTTTTTTCTTTCTCCATCTTTCCATCTTTCTTTCTCTGTCTCTCTCTCACTTTCTTTATCTGCCCTGTCCTTCCCTCTCGCTTGAATTGCTTTCAGGAGCTTCATGGGGTACGCATTTGTTATTACCTGCTTCCTGTGTATCTGCCTGAGTATGAGTGTGTGTTTGTGTGGATAAGGAATCGCTAGACCAGTGCAACATATTCGCAAGATTTGTGAAACTGCACTTCTGTAGACCACGATTGGGCATGAATTCTTAAACTCAATACACTTAATCAACTAAATATACCTGAGGTACTTGCCAGTTGTTCATTATTTAATCTGTATCCATAAAGAAGCCCAACATAATACATATTTTAAATGTAATTGTTAGAAAGACAAAATGACACTTGCTGATGTAAGATAAAAGACATACCAACTGTCTACTAAGGAAAACATCAGTTATTGCGTGCCTTTCTTTTATTTTTAAATGTGTTAATTTTTATTTCATTTTTAAAATTCAAATATATTTTACTTGCTGTACACAATCAGCATCTATCACCAGGACTTGCATGAACCTTCATGCATGTACTTTCTTATAGTGTGTGTGTGTGTGTGTGTGACATTTGCCAGTCTGTAACCTTTTCACTTTTGTGATTTTTATCACAGTTCCATGTTGCAACGTCTCTATATTTACTGCTCAAAGTGATTTATCTTGCAGAGATGTTACAAACAAACAGTAACTAATTATACCTCACTGCATCATGTTTTTGATTATTATAATGGTTTATTGTGCACTGGAGTTGCTTTGATGCTTTTAAACTCCGGCTGGTACCTGTTCTTCTGATGGTGGCACTTCAGCATATCTAGGCATTTGTTCAGCTATGACTCTTTGTTTCTATATGTAACGGAGGCCAGTGAGTAGGTGCTGTGCAGGTAAAACCTCACTCCCCTGATCTCAAGAGACGCATGCCTCCCATGCCGGAGACTCGGGTTCGAGACCCACTCGGAACAAGAACGAGATGTGGTGGTGAGGCCCCGGGGGAGAGGAGTTACATATATATATTGAACAAGTGTAAAACCAAGATAGTTCAAATGTAATATATATTTTTTAGTTTTAATAAAAAACAATGCCTACATAAAAGTGCCTGTACTTAGGGTGGTATCAGCTCTGGTTTCAGTGCACTGTTGTATATTGATTATAAATGTATCTCATACTGTGTTCTGCTCTTTCTGATTCTCGTGTTTGTCTCACTTTAACTGTTGTAATCTTCTTCTCTCTCCTGTGCTGTTCTTCAGTAGTTGATAGCAAGCTTTTGTCCTGTGGGCTTTAATGTTTCTCATTTAGTTTTTTCTTTCTCCATCTTTCCATCTTTCTTTCTCTGTCTCTCTCTCACTTTCTTTATCTGCCCTGTCCTTCCCTCTCGCTTGAATTGCTTTCAGGAGCTTCATGGGGTACGCATTTGTTATTACCTGCTTCCTGTGTATCTGCCTGAGTATGAGTGTGTGTTTGTGTGGATAAGGAATCGCTAGACCAGTGCAACATATTTGCAAGATTTGTGAAACCACTTCTGTAGACCACGATTGGGCATGAATTCTTAAACTCAATACACTTAATCAACTAAATATACCTGAGGTACTTGCCAGTTGTTCATTATTTAATCTGTATCCATAAAGAAGCCCAACATAATACATATTTTAAATGTAATTGTTAGAAAGACAAAATGACACTTGCTGATGTAAGATAAAAGACATACCAACTGTCTACTAAGGAAAACATCAGTTATGACTTGCGCATCTTTTATTTTTAAATGTGTTAATTTTTATTTCATTTTTAAAATTCAAATATATTTTACTTGCTGTACACAATCAGCATCTATCACCAGGACTTGCATGAACCTTCATGCATGTACTTTCTTTTAGTGTGTGTGTGTGTGTGTGTGTGACATTTGCCAGTCTGTAACCTTTTCACTTTTGTGATTTTTATCACAGTTCCATGT